TGAGCTCATCCTGCTGTGCTCTCCTGTGCAGAGGTGCCTGTATGAGGTCTGTAACTACGAGGAGACCCAGGACTACCTGTGTGGTGCCTTGCAATCCTACTCCCGGGCCTGTGCAGAGAAGGGCATGGTCCTGAAGAACTGGTGGAATGAGACTGTGCACTGCGGTGAGCCAGGGGCATCAGGGGGCAGTGTGTGTGTGTGTGTGTGTGTGTGTGTGTGTGTGTGTGTGTGTGTGTGTGTGTGTGTGTGTGTGCATATTGACCACTGTGTGGATTCTGATCTTCAGAAGAGTGAGAAGCAGATCTAAGATCTTGGCTTTATTCATGCAGGGTCTTATACAGCTTAAAGCCCAGCCTGAGTTTCACTGGGAGCCAGAAAGGTGCTACAGTAGTCGAAAAATGATGAAGCAATGTCACACAGGTGGGAGCAGGATTGTGATATTCCCAACATGAGCTTCAAATGACAGCATAGGGTCCGAAGTAACACCAGGGTCTCTAACCCAATCCTCAGCCACACTGAGACCCCCAGCCTGGCAAAGATCCACATCAGGCTGGTCAGTGAGTCCGACAGCGCAGAGTCATGGTGTCTGATTCTGTGCGCCAGTAAATCTAGGAGTGGCCCTCACAGCGAAACCCAAGGCCAGAGTGGCTAGGAGACAGCAGTTCTCCCCGCAGATCGCACCCCGAGTGTCTGGACCCCGGCAGATTCCCGGCAGTCATGGTTTCTAAGTGAAACGTGTGCTTCTCTGCAGCGGTGACCTGCCCCCAGAACCAGGAGTTCATGCAGAACGGCTCCTTATGCGGGCGCACCTGCCGGTCACTGAGCCCGGGGGCGACCTGTTCCCCCAGCCCCGTCCTGCTGGAGGGCTGCAGCTGCCCGCCGGGCACCTACCTGGACCAGCTGGGCTCCTGCGTGCCCCCGGCCAGCTGCCCCTGCTTCGAGGACAACCGCTACTTCCCCGCGGGGAGCGCCGTCCAGCTGGACGGACTGACCTGGTCAGTGCGCGCGCGTTGCGGTGCTCCGGCGGTCGGCGGAGGGCCCCTTCCCGCCGTGCGGATCGAACTCCTGCTTGTCTCGCTGTCTTGCAGCCTGTGCAGCTCTGGGGTGCTGGACTGCGAGGGCTCCAGAGGCTTACTTCCCCAAGGCGAAGAGCAAGGTCTGTATATGAAATAAAATATCAGAAATCTGAAATTGTACTGACCCAGCAAACCAGCTTGATTCAATATTTGTTTTATCAGAAAAAACACCAGCGAGCTGACACATTGTCTTAGTCAGCCAAAACAGCTAATCATCTTATCTTCAGTTCTCAGAAGCATTTCTGTATGTGATAGTTTCCTGACCTTCGAGGGTGATTGTCATGACTTTACAACACCACCTTTATCAAATTTAAGAAGATAATACTGATTGATGCAGCGTCTTCGTAGTTCTGAGCTTGTCAACAAGATCAACAGCGAAACAATGAGAACTGACTAATAGAGCTCTGTCTAAGAGCTGGTCACCATGTTGTGTCTCTCAGCCTGCTGGGGCTCAGAGTGAGAGACCAGGGCCTGGGAGAGTTAG